CCGCAAATGTAAGTGGAATCCGCAAAATTTGTATGCGAAATCCGCAAACGTAAGCGGATTCCGCAAATTGTAAGTGGATTCCGCATTTTTGTTTATGACTGAAATTGCATATGAACAGTCAAAAGCTTGAGTTGGAATATTTGATTTAATATTTATAGGAACGCTCAATTTGAACGCAAAAGGATTTATCCATTGGTCAGCGGAATCCGCAAACGAATCTTAAAACATTGGTTAACTATGCGGATGTAAATCTTTGGTTTTGGCTTGAAATGGGTTTGAAAAAGCTGTTCAGGGTTTGAAATGGCAGTTTATGTTTGAAATGGGGGCAGTTAGGTCACTCATCAGTATTTGAGATGAGATGGTTCATTCATGGTTAAGAAATCATCATCAGTATTTGAGATGAGATGGTTCAGTTATGATTAAGAAATCATCATCAGTGTTTCAGATGAGATGGTTCAGTTTGAAATGGCAGCTAAGTCACTCATCAGTATTTGAGATGAGATGGTTCAGTTATAGATAAGAAATTATCATCAGTATTTGAGATGAGATGTTTCAGTTATAGTTAAGAAATCATCATCAGTATTTGAGATGAGATGGTTCAGTTTGAAATGGCAGCTAAATCACTCATCAGTATTTGAGATGAGATGGTTCAGTTATAGTTAAGAAATCATCATCAGTATTTGAGATAAGATGGTTCAGTTTGAAATGGCAGCTAAGTCACTCATCAGTATTTGAGATGAGATGGTTCAATTATAGATAAGAAATTATCATCAGTATTTGAGATGAGATGGTTCAGTTATAGTTAAGAAATCATCATCAGTATTTGAGATGAGATGGTTCAGTTTGCAATGGCAGCTAAGTCACTCATCAGTAATTGAGATGAGATGGTTCAGTATTTGAGGCGAGTTTTTGAAATGAGATGGTTCAGTATTTGAGACGAGATAAAGGACGGCTCGATTGTATTTTTTGAAAGCTGAACTGAATAGTCCTCTGAAAACCTGAGTACAAATCCTCGTTTAATTAAAACTGAAAAGAATATTGTTGAGCAATTGATCAATTTTTCTGTTCTTTCCGAATCCTTTTCCTCGAAATCTCCACTTTCAACAAAGGGTCTTTGTTGTCTCAATGGCTCACTATGGTATTCATCATCTGCTGTTTTTTTTTAGAAATATTTGTCTCCTCGGCTGTTTTGGCTGTTTCTGAATCCTTTCCCTCGAAAATTCCACCTTCGACAAAGCGTCTTTGTTGTCTTATTGGCTCACTATGGTATTCGTAGTCTGGTGTATTTGTTGAAGTTTTCTCTAGATAAAGTTTGCGTTTACCTCTCTGTTTGAGTTTAATTTTCTCTTTCCACAACTTTATACTCGAACTGTTTGACGTGTTTAGATTCTGATGTTTGTGCGTATTTAAAATGAAAGCTTTCACAGAGTCAATTGAAGAATCTTTATCCGGACAAACGAAGGGTGTAATACTTTCGAACTGCAGACTTGAAAGGAAATAAATTTATTCGTCAGCTGAAGAATGCGAAGAATAGCTGCACCAAATGGTTCTCTCAGACACTGCTTTAACCAATCTCCCAGGCTTTAGCTCGTTTTTAGTGAAACACATTTCGGTTGGAATGACTGTAAGCGCTTCTGGTCTTGGGATGCCCGGATTGCAAGGCGGTTTTAAGTTTGTAGACGCAGGAGATGGCTGCTTTCGCCGTCTAAGGTGAGCTAATTTTGAATTGGCAGAACAAATTGTTACAGTTGATACTGACATAATGAAACGTGAACTTTAATGTTGAATCTAAGTGCAAACTCTTTCATCAAAAACTCATGAACGTCGCGACTTTTGTTGCAAAAATTGACCACTTTATTTTGAAATGAACAGAGCCATGCGGACACGGCTTGAAAGATGGCTTAAAGACAGTTTTTCCTACAAGGTATGAAATTGGAATCTGTTTTGCAAAAAGTTGTGTCGATAAAAATATTATCAAAATTATGAACAGCAGCTTCTTGTAAATTGTCAAAAAGATGATCGATTCGCAACATATGACAAACCTGCCATCTGAAATCCCCTGTAAAAAGGACACATTTTTCTCTGGAAACTAGTAAGAACCTTACTAAACCTGGACAGTGACCTGCAGAATAATAGTGACAGTTAGGGTTTGAGTCTCGTCCTCTTCGAAAGGAAGATTGAATGTTATCTCATTATCTGACTCCAGAGGTATTATATATGGAGTTAAGTGAACATAAAGCGGCAATGTACTCAACAAAGTAGCCGAAACTTTATGACTTTTAACCTATCGACGAGCTCAGGCTCATTAAGGCCCACCATGTGATCTGTATGACAGTGCGAAAAAAAATAAACCGTAGATTTGAGGTTTTCACCATTGAAGCGATCAACTGAAACCCCAAGAAATTCTGATAATGAACCGGCAAATTCTAAAATAATTGTAGAAGGGAAAAAGAGGTATGAACAGTTTTTTTAATTAAATGAGGATTGAAGATACATTTCTATATTTTTTAACAAAGGAGAAGACCACCAGGTTTTGATCGCCATGAGCCCATTTGAGTGTAAGCATCTATCCTTGTTTAATTTATACAGCCAAAATTTTTATCATTTTGGCTCATATTTAAGAATAAACGAGTGGATCCGAAAAACAATAACAATTAGCTTCAGTGGAGACAATTTTCTCAAATCAAAAAAATAGGAATTTTAATTCCACCAACTAAAAAAACTAAACAATTTGAATGATATGCGCAACAATATAGAAGATTTCACTTCAGGAAGCGCAGTAGGAAGCACGATCTCGAAAGGTAGTTTTGGTGCAAAAAACTAACTAATTTAAGTTTTATAATAGACTTTTTTACTGATAAGTGGGCTGATATGACTATGTGACCCGCAAATGATGATGAGGCGCCCAATACTGTGTAGGCATAATGCGACAGCGGCATTTGCACTAAAAACAGTTTTCTAATAAACTAGTCATAAAATATTTTAGTAATAAATTTTTAGATTTGAGATTTTGAACCTTTATAAGTAGGGCTTTTTGTAGCATACTCATACTGGTGTAGGGCATACTTGACGAGCGCCTTTAGAAAAAGACATTTTGTAGCAATTGGGCTAGGGCATAATGGACGAGCGCTGTTGAGTGACGGCTAAAAAATACAGTTTTATAAAAAACTTGTCATTAAATATTTTAGTAATATTTTTTGAGATTTGAGAATTTGAACCTTTATAAGTAGGGCAGTTTGTGACATACTGGTGTAGGCAAACTGGACGAGCGCCTTTAGCAGAAGGGTATTCTGTAGCGACAAATAGGAAAGGCGACAAATCCTGCCGACAGAAGGGGCACTTTGGATGATGCTCATCCTGCACCTTCCGCCAGCAGGTAAAGCACAGCTTGTGCGCAACATCCCCATCATAGATCTGGAACAAATTCCGTCCATCTTCACAGCTCTTTGTGGTTCATTCATCATGTTTTCTAAAATTCAGTAATTCAGTTAGTTACTCAGACTGCATGCTAATATTTAGAATTTTTAAAATTTATTCAATTTATAGAAAGACAACTGTTTTTAAAATGTCAATTAATAAATCTAGACATTTTGCATATGTTCGTTAAAAAAACTGTACAGACTATCGAATGTGGTAATAGAAGGTCTTCAGGCCCTTTGGACTGATTTTTGGGCAGGCAATGCTCCCACTGGCAATACTCCGCATGACGCACGATGGTGGTGGAAGAGACTGTCCATTGTTTATTTATTCGCCAGCCTTTCCTTAGTTGTTGGCTTAAAATACAAAATTATCAAAAGTTAAACTGAGTTTTTGGGATGAAGTAAACATTTCAGTATACGGGATGACAAAACTCAACTTTTGGGATTAATTGAGTATTTCAGTTAATGCGATTAAACTGGGTGCAGTTTTTGGGATACGGAAGTAAGTATTTCATAATCTGGGATGAAATTCGGCCAGAAGTACTTACGTAAATTATTCTTGCAAGGTGGTTATCTAAGGCTTTGTCGTGCGCCGTCAGAAATCTCCAGACCTCCTCCAGATCTTCTGATTCTTGCGGCGGGATTGCGTCTCTGATGCTATAAAAATATCTTTCTCTATTATCATTTATTTCGACAAAAACCTATCAGTTTAATCTTTGATACTAACCACAGATGCACCATAAACTCGTTCAGATCCAACATCGGAAAAACAGGGTACCAGCTGCTGAAGGCCTCTTCGTCTTTTCGCTCATGTCGAAAAGCTCTGGCAGCCGTCAGCAGGTGTCCACGATGAATGAAATTGACACCCAGAGTTACTGACTCTGAGTGGGTTTCAACCATGTGTATCATGCCAGCTGGCATAACAAGGGCCTGAGGCTCCTTCAGAACAACTTTCTGACACCCTCCAGCATCACAGCGAGATTAATCCCCGGGAAACACCGGTTTCCAAACCAGAGATTGCTGCATCAGATATTCCTGAATTATTTTCTTGTTGTTGACCGACGGAACCATCAAATAAAATGTTTTGCAGCCTACAAGAAAAAAAAGAACTAAATGGAACATATTTATATAATTCGTTGAAAAAATTGTGCACCAAACTTTGTTTAACCTTTGACTAAAAATCACATCACAGATGTAACGGAGAAATTCTTTTGAAATGGTGTTATTGCACGAGCCTGCGATAACAGCAGATAGCTTGACTCCTTCGTCGGTACTTCTGTCTTCTCCAACTTCCTTTTACGTATGTGTCCCAACGTCATATCCTTGACTGCTTTTGGAACAGAGAATTTTGTGGCGGCCGACAAGGAAGTATCAGCATCAATGATATTCCAGAACATTGGCGGCCTTAATCGGAACAAAGGTTGAACATCAGCTGGCTTAATTGATGGTATATATTCCTAGGATTGAACACAAAAGTGAGGTTAAACTTATTTGAAAACTGGAGTCTGATTAGGAGTCTAATTACTTTACAAATTGATTACCTTTTCCTTTAAGATCTACCGTCTAGCTGTCTTCCTCGGGTTATTCCTTCAGAATTTCGTCAATGAAACTGTCCCCATACATTCGGCTGTGAAACTGGTAACTATCCGCCTGTTGGCTTTTGAACCCTTTGATGGATTCAGCCGATAGAACTAACAAGGCCCCTTGTTGACCAGTAAACCAGTCTGACTGGATCCAGTTGACAAGATCAATCGCAGGCACGCACTGTATTAGACTTGAGGCAGGCATGATCAAACAAAATATCCAAAAAAGATGATCGAAGTTCAATTAAAACGACTTTGAGCTAATTTTAGTTTCAGATGCTTTCTTGCGAAAGTCTCTTAGTTCGCCAATGCAATTGGAGGTAACAGGTCAATATGATTGGCACTCGTGCTACAAGAGCTGTCTGAAACCACGGCAAAACTCCCCAAGAGCTTTTGGCTTTCCCCAAGAGCTGCTTTTGGTTTCTGTATCCGCACCAGAGGAGTTCGTTGATCTGTCCTCAGATCTGCGTCAACCAGACTATGAATTGGCGAAATGGAGCCTGGTAGAGGAAAGGGCGAAACAAACTCTGGTACGAGAGGAAGTGGATCTGGCCTCAGACACGGTCCAATAGGTACCTGGGGAAGTGGTACCATCCTAATTGACGCAGCTGACGCACCAATTGGCAACTGGCCGGTGACTTCCGAGGTATCTTCATCAATAGTGTTTGTCACTTCGTTGCCAACAGTACCTGGAGCAGTGCCCTTGGAGGTTTCGCCGTCATTCCTTGAAATAGAGGGCTAAAACAGTGATTTTGATTTAAATGCAGACTAGTAGAAAGACAATTATACTTGCAGACTAGCGGGTCGACAATTATATCAAATAAATACGGCGTTTTGTTACATACCATTGAAATGTGCAAAACGGGTTCCTCATCCTCCGGCTAATTTTGCACAAACTCGTCGCCAATTGTTCCTGCTACATTTCTAATCTCAAGCTTTCTCCACTAGGTTCTGGATAATGCAACTGTTCAGCTGCATCCTGTAGTGAAGTCAATTCAAAACCTAGAATATAAAGACTTTGAAAATTTTCTATAGGAAGAGCTGAGAAATCATCGTTATAGAGCACTGCTTCCATTGTTGTAAGATAGGGGCGTAAAGGAGAAGTTGTTTCTAATGAAACAATTGCTCTTCCATCCCGAAGAATTGCAAGCTCTCTCAAATGAAATTGATGATAATTGGAAGCTTTTTCCAATTAAGATTCGACAACAGCTGAATTTGTATTCACTGCAACAGCTATTCTTCTTAGTGGAGAATTATTGAAATCATTTTCGTGAATGAACTGGTACTGACAAGATGGAATGATAATGTTCGTGCTATAGTTTCCAGGTGATTGTAATGAGCAGATTCCCTTTCCAGATTCAATTGCAAGTAATGATGATTAGGAAGGGCAACTAAAATTCTTCCAGTAAACAGCGAACAATCGACAATTTTCAAACTGACATTTGGGTTATCAGATACCATGTAAGAGTTAGGTCTAGATCTAATAAGGTTAATTTGAACTTTGGATTTTGGTAGTAACAATTTTTCGCAAGTAAACAAATCAATGGCGAGCCTCCCAAAAAGTGAAAACGTTATCCCTGTTCCTAAGGATTTGCTCTATCAATGAACGAATGCATAAAAAAAGCATCGGGAACTTTTTAAAACTATATCCATGCCCTTGGAGGTTTCGGGAATTTAAAACTATACCAAGTATTCTTTTATTACTCTCTGCCAACGAGTTGAATTCACTCGATATTTGTGCTTAGTGAGGATTTAAGCCATTGGCGTTGTAATCCTTTGTAATTTTAAAATTAACTTTCTAATTGAAGAATAGAGAATGAGGAAGATTGTTTATAAAAGTTAAAAAAAGGTTCTGGTTCCTCATGTGAATCAACCTCCGATTTTGCTTTATGATTTGCTTTTTCTATCTTGAAAGCATCAAACAGCCTTCCCTTGAACAATTGAAGCTTCAAACTTAGATAGATATCACGCATATCCAAGTAGACAATACGATCAGTTTCAAATTAAAACTCAAACTCAATACTGCTTTCATCTAGAGAAGTATTAGGAAATACTGCTTGCCCGTAAAAAGAAAGAATTGCTTCCAAAACTGGGACATTATCAAAAATTTTTAGGGAAAATTTTGTAGAAGCCCCGTACCGAAAAGGTCTGCTTTGAATTAAAGTCATTCTAATTTGTCAAAAATATCTTTGCGAGAGCGATTGTTTTTCAACCTATTTTTTCGAGAAATGGTTCTACTAGCTCTACGCTTGGATCTTTTTTCCACCTCACAACTGTTTTTGAATTGTTTTTATTCCAACATCTTTTGCAAATCTTTTTGCAGCTAGGACTATATATTTTTAATAAAGGGGGTTGCAGTTCTCCCAAGAGTCTGTACGGGAGTACCAAAACCTCTTCCAGGCTGTCTTGCATTTCCACGAAAAATGTTAAGTTAGCTGAACTTTGAGCCACCATTTTGTATGAAGTATAAGTCAAAATTGATTATCCGAAATCTTGTGGAACAAGAGAACCGTTCGCGCATTTCCTACGAGCACAAAGAGAATTTTTTCGCCTGATATCCCTTAGTTTTTTTTTATGCTATGAAAAGATTTCTTCGAAAATTTTTCAATTGTAGATTCGTAAAGGATTGATAGTTTTTGTACTGTCCTGTAGAAATTATGTCCTCATGTTTTTCCTTGAAAATAAAAGAAATATAACGCACTAAAAGAGTTTTTTTTTTTATAACAACTACTATATTATATTTTATAAGATCACTATAAATCATCAGAGAATGTAATTTTATAATGTCGTAAGGGTTGTTATGATGTTAAAGTGGACCTTTTCCTTTCATATAAACCACTGTCCAATTCTGCCTTAAATCACAACGAAAAACGTGGCTCAAATCAGCAATTTGATTGGGAATTACTGATTGACTCTCAGGTAAAAGAATTGCTATTTTTTGTGAAATCTTATCTACTAATACATAAATTCCGTTATATAATTTTTTTTTTTGCATTTATACGTTTACTAACTTTGTCATTCAACGTACAACTACATCAATAATGCTTAGATACAATCCGGGGTCAAAATGCATCTGTTAAATCTATTTTTTATCCAAAGAGTTTCTCGGAAAAACGTCTATAAAAAAAACTTCCCTCAGTATCGTTTTGGTACAATGAAGGGTGAATTTTCTGAATTAGCAAGTTGCCATTCTCCTTAAAGATTTATTTTTTTTCCGACAGAAGTTTTGCAAATGAACTAAAACTATCAATCGGATAACAATTTAAAAAAGCATTAGAAATCAATCCATGACAATTGATCAAAAGAAATTTAATTTTAAAAATGACTAACTTTTAATCTAAAAAATCTCAGATTTTTTCGTGAAATTTTCCCATGTTTTCTTCGTTTTTGAGATCTTTGATGACGTATGTAGGAACTTTTTTAGTGTTTATTGCCGATTTTATAAGAATTTCATCTGTAAACTGTGGCTTGTATCCTTTTCGGAACTGAATATCACTTTTCGAAATTCTCACCCTATCTTCAATTTTGAGTTTTGGTTTAGTAATTTTCATTAACGATTTTTGATTAAAAAATAGATTTTCCGATATAAAATTTTTTACGACAATTCAAAGTATAAACAAAATGCTGTAATTTCAGAAAAGAAGAAATTTTTCATCATGATCTTCAAGTTAACAAGGTATTATATGTTTTAATGACTGATTGGCTCTCTCTGCAAATGCAGCTTTCTTTCACTCATTGGTGAGTAAACTTCAATGTCTTTCTCCTTGCAAAATTTTGTGAAAGTTACCCCATATTATGTTCCTTTATCAACCAAAAACTTTTCAGGAGTGTTTTTTTCCAGAAATCTTTTTTATGGAAAATTGCAGTTTTTGAAAGCAATTTTTTTGGTCAGTCTCTTTTTTTGTTACTTTTTGTTCCATCTTTTGTTTTCTTGGAAGTGTACGGAAATTTTTGATTGATAATAAGAGTACGGAATTAAAACAAACAGTTTCTGCCTATGTCAGTCGGTTAATGACAAAAGGGTTGATGATAGGTATCAATTGTTACCCTTTAGTTGAGCTTAAAATAATCTTTCTTTTGTGTAGAGCAGTTCTTTCTCGGTTTATTTCTAAAATGTGGTTTCGATATTTTACTACGTCTTCTTTCCGAAGGTCTTGAAGCTCTCCTCTTAATAGGTTTACTTAACACTCGCTCAGAAACTGAAAGAAAACTTTTGGGAAATTGAGAGTGAATTGTTCTCGAAGTCTTACGGAAACAATTTGAAATATTGCGAGAATAGAGACCTATGCAATCGGAGCTCGTATTAGAGCAATACATAAGTGAATCAACTGTTTTTGGGTTTGAATCAATCAAAAAATGACCATAAGGAACTGATGTTGCATCTTGAGAAAACTGTTTCAATGTGAGATCCTAGACCTAGTTGTTCACTTAATGTGTTGATATGTAAAACATCTCTCGATGACTTGAACAAGACTATGTATTTTGTAATTCTAAATCTCTTCACTGTTTGCTTTGATGAGACAAATTCTTTTTGATGTATATTTCATTCAGACACTTCTACAGCAGTGGCATATTTTACAATTTGTTTGGAATTTGAAATTTCTTCACAAGAATAATCAATTAAAAGCAAAAACTTAATTCTTTTATTGGGAAGGTTTTCGGTCAATTCCAAATATACTTTTCGGACAAATCGAGATTTTTGTTTTGCGTTTGACTATAAAGAGGTTGATAACGTTGATAAAAGAGGAAAATTCTGTCGAATGCTGGTTAAAAAATACCAATTTTCAACTAATCAAAAGTAAGATGAGGTTTTGCAGATCCACTTGGTCCAAATAGGAGAAAAAAAATTCGTTCTATGGTAGAAGCTAATTTGTTCATAGCTTTGGAGATGGTAGAAAACAACCGACTGTTTTTGATAAGATAGCTACCCTAGCTGTCGTTTCTTCACACGTTGTGGATAATATAATTCGAGTGATTGATTATACTAGCATCAAAACTGTAACAAATATTTGGCGCGAAAAAACTAACAGACATATATTACAGGTACCTTCAAACAACATCCATGACTTTTGATCATAATTTTCTTCATCAATAACAAAACTTCCCATATTTACGGGCTTGTCACATTGATCGACCATCTTAAACCTAGAAAAAAAGTTGACAATGACATTTAATTAAAGTTTAAGAAATAGCAGTACAATAAAATTATTGTGATTTACAATTTGTTTAAAAAACATCGAGTCCATGTTCCGTATGCAAATGATTTTGTTGCAGCAAAACGAAGAGTTTTTGCATGACGAATTGGGTAGTTGCTACACCTCCAATCCTTTTCTTCATCTTTGAAAATTAAAAAAACTTTATTTTTGGGCAAGCGTAGCCGTTCAATCTTATAATTTTTTTTTTCCAAAAACTCTGACAGAATCTTACATTTTTATAACCGTTTGTGGAAAATTCTTTCTCTGAGGCTACTCAAAATTTCATTGTTTTTCAGGTTTAGTATAATTTTCCGTAACCGCTCCTCCAACTGATTCCATGAAGATGCTTTGTACGCCAAGAAAATTGGGATGTTGCTTTGAAGTTTCTGGGAGGAAGAAGAGAATATCTTACAGTTTGTCCATCCTTACAAACTTCTAACTCCTTCACTAAATTGCTTTCAAAACGTTTAAAATACAAAACAACCCTGCTCTTTCTGTTATCTGTTTTTTTTATTTTTTTAAATTAAGATTATTAACAATAGA